ATATATATATATATATATTACTTATGTCTGGGAGGGTATTTCACATATCTGATGTAAATTTGATGTACTTATAATTTAAATCCTTTGTTGCTAATATCTTGCAGAGTTTTACCCCTTTTTAAGTTGGCAAAAGTTTCCTAGATCCTCTACTTTGCACTTCTGAAATGTTGTAGGTTTAGAGCCACGTATGTTTGTTTTTCGGAAGTTGCTCCTTTTGACGTGTAATGTTTTGAGAATTGATTGCGCTTTTATCCTAGTAATTTGATTACCGATTATTCTGGCTTCTGGGCATCTAGTTTTAAGAATGTATCATGAAAAAAAAAATGCAAACTAGGTGTTTGGTATTGTGGGGGTAAACTTTAATGAAAGCAATCATGTGTTTAACCTTAATAAGCAACTTATTTCCTAATCAAGTTAGATCAAAATGGATATTTCAAAAGCCTTTTAGGTGTTGGATGGATTTGGTTAAAATTTTCTTTGGATATCGAAATAGGTTGGTATGAGTAATTAGTTGACTGTAACTGGGAATAGCTGTTGTGTGAAATAACGAAAATCTTGTTTTACCCCGCAGGTTTCCTTAGAAAGTTGTCCAAGTGAGGTCTTCATCCATATGTCAGCTGCAAGATGCTGGGAGCTCGTCAGAGAGAAAGTGAATCAAGAAATTGCCAAGCAACATAAGCTGGGAAGAAAGGGCCTTCCTCCTTTACAGCCCCCGGGTAGCCTTGATGGCTTAGAAATGTTTGGGTTTTCTTCACCAGCAATAGTGCAGGTAATTTTACTGATAAAACACTTGAAAGAAAATAAAATAAAAAGGTTAAATAAATTGAACGTATCTTATAAGCATAAGCAAAAGTGAACTTATGCATTTCAGATTTTGGATAAGTTATGAAAGCTTTTGTGAAAGTTAAGTATGACAGTTGATTTTAGCTTAATTATATGAGAAGCTCAAACATTATATTATTTTATTTTCTTCTAGTATTAGTGTATGTGTATATAATTTATTTTTAATCCAAATAGGACCTAAAACCCATACATGATAACATGAGCTGAAACAAGTCACCTTCCACAGACCAATATGTAAATTATGTGCGTAACAAATTTTATAGCTTCTTTTAGATGGACATGATAGTGATTCAGGATTGAATTACACCTACGAAGTAGGTATTTATGTTAAAGAAATAACAAAAAGTGTTTTCATGAAAATGCAACAAATAATTTTTCTAACTAGTTTTCTGATTTATTGCTGCACAAACCAAACACTCTCTTAGCTAATCTCTTTCCATTAGGGCTAATGAACTCTAGGAGTGCGTTACGTCTGGATTTTAAAAGTAGTCTTATTCTTAAAGCCGTGTTTTAGGGATTGTAAGCTTCTTTCTGGTTTTCCATCCGTATAGTTATCTTATGTAATGCATATTTGATTTTGTTTTCCTTGGGCATAGTTTTGAATTTTGATAGCTATAAGTTAAAGATACCTACTTTCTTTGAACAGGCTATTGAAGCGCTGGATCGAAGTCGAGTGTGTAATGAATATTGGGACTCACGGCCGTACTCCCGCCCTTTAGGACAGATTTCACAATCATGCCAAAGCAGTGTTAGTGGTGGCAGTGGTCAAGGTGTTCTCTTGAATAAGCAAATTCCCGTTGATGTTGTTGCAGTATTAAGGAGCCTATGTAAAAAGGCTAATGCAGAAGAATTGAACTCGTTGTACAGCATTCTTAGTGAAAGTAGGCCACAGGCTGACAGGAGCCAAATTGCGCAATTTCTTAAAGAAGAGATGCACAAATCACAACCACCCTAGGTAATTCATTATTTGGACGGAATTGTTCATTCGCCTAACCTTCTCACGTGTATATTGTAGTTCCTCCGAGGTTGCACATGCAATTTCATGCAACCTTAATCTTTTGATTTTTTTTTCCCATCTGAATGGAGGTTATAGAGAAAGAGAAAGAAAAAAACGAAAATAAAATTAGAAAAAATGTGGGTGGGGGAAGCCTATTTTTCCCTTCAAAATTTTGCTCTTTACTTGTGGCAGCTAGAAGATGTGGAAAGTTATCAAGTGCCACTATGGCTGTCTCATCTGAAACTCTGAAGGGCGAGGCTACCAAGCCTTTACAATTGATTTTGATTCATATGTTGTACACGCAGTTTTAAACTACATGTAGGTTCATGTTTAGATTTGATTAATTATTTTAGAAAATAGCTTTTTACTCGTATTAAGCTGTTTTCTCCAAAAAAGTACATATCTTACAAAAGGGCTCTTTTTTTTTTTTTTATTTATTCCACTGTTCATAAAAGATTATTATCGCCTTTAGAATGTAGATGATTTTAAAAGTTGAGATGTATCCTATTTTCCTTAACCGAAATATTTTTTGCCTAGTTAATGTAATTTACTTAAGTAATATAATTAGCCAGATTGTCTTGAAATCGATTAAGAATTAGCACAAATGGAAAACATTAAAAAATTTATCTTATAGTCACGTTGTAAAATAACTGTTACAGCATATTCAAACAAAAGGGATTTATCTGTTTTTATTTATTTTGTATTGGTTGCCTTTTTTATTTCAATTTTATGTAAATTTGTTATCTTTGTTAAACAATTTTTTAGTGTGTTCAGTTTCTATAATTTTCATGTAAATTACACTTATCTCATAATCATGTAGATTTTCCTTCGGTGACAACTAAGGTGAAGAACACTCACACAAAAGATGCATTCTACAATGATTTTTTTTACGCAAGAATTATCATACTATGAATCAAACTATATCCTTAAATTCTACCAAATATTGGATCAAATGTTTACAACTATGCAAAAAAAATTTAAACCAATAGTTAATACACAAATATTTCTACTTAAGAGTATACTAACTTAAATGCTGCTATTAAATTATGACTTGATGACATAATTGTTTTACGGTATAGAACAATTGATACGTTCTATAGTAGGTATTTGATAAATCAGCAATTTGTTATTTTTTAGACCATTGTAACATAAGATTTGATCAAGAAACATTAATGCTTTAGAGCTTGATTTTTTGTTGTTTAACTCAATTGTTTAAGAATACTACATTTGTTTAAAAGATGTTTGATTTTGATACCAATAAAATAATATAATAAACCAAGATGTTTGAGAGAAAAATTGATATTTAATTAATGAATAATGGATTGCACCAATTGAGAAAAGTTCCCTTTAACAATACTATCATTAACGTATGCAAGTAAGTAAGACATATGTTCCTTAATTTTGTAATAAAAAAAATGGAGAATCGCATTTGTTTGTTTTGAAGCCAAAGTTAACTAACGCTGATTATAGTTGTTCAAACCACTCTTCTAGAGCTTGTTTTAAATAATGCAAAAAATTGTCGTGTTTAAATACTAAGGATTTATCATTTTATTAAAAAAATATGTGATTTTTGTATATATATAATTTAACAAAAAATATTATTTAAAAATGCATTATTCACATCTAACCATAAAAGACCCCAATTATTATAATACTATGTGTGACTTGTTTTACATTAAAGTCAACCATGTTGTTTTTGAAAATCTTTTACTATAATTCTAACTTTATACTTCTTCAAATAACCATTTGCATTTTTTTACAATAAATCCACTTACACAACTAATAGTAAGAAATATTCAAGTATTGTTTTTATTAGGCTTAATAACTCTAATAATCCCTATTTTCGTCATGTTTGTTCGAAATGGTCCTATTTTTTTTTTCTGTTTAATGTTGTCCTAAAAAATATAAAAATGTTCAGTTTAGTCCTTTTTACAAATGACGTTTAAATAGTTAATGACACATTGTCAAAGTCAGTAAATGATCTAAGCTATTTTATCTGGCGTGGCTGCCTATCTTCATCTTCATCCTGGTCACTCCATCATCTTTTATGTTTTAGAATTTGGGAACCAAGCCTCTTTCACCTTCACCTTCTTCAAAATTCCCCTCATTTTCCTTCACGCTCTTTAGACCTACATCCGCCCCGGTTCCCAACCCCAATCTAATGGCCTCAGAGTCGTCATCCGTCGCCCTGACATCGATGGCTACCAGCCCCTCTCCTCCAAAATTGTTGTCGAACTCAAGAAGAGGAACAAGTCCAATCACCCCCGAAGAATGGATTCTTCGCCAACGGGTTTTTCATTCTCATTCTTTTATCCATTTTGAGTCTTTACATGTGGGGGACGTTGCTCATTAAGGTCACGTTTGAGAGATCCGCATCCAGGAGGTTCGACAAGCAATTGAGCCTTTTTTTTGGGTTTTTGGGACTTTACTCATGCGAGATTTTTATGAATAGTGGAGATGGTGCGACAAAGAGTGGATTTGGTAATGCGGAGAAATTGGTGGGAAAAATGGGGTTCTTGCCTTCTGATTTTGGAAGCTTTAGGAAGTGGTGCTTGTTGGGGTTTAGTTTGTTGCATATTGTGGCTTTGAGGCCTAACCTGCAGATTATTGCAAATGGGGATTATCCCTACCCCATTGAACCATCACCATGTGAGGAATTAGGAAGCAGACATGACTTATCAACCACCAAGATTGGAAAGAAGATTGCTTAACCTCGAACCTCACTATGACTTTCATAGAAGAAAAGTAAAAAATCCTAATTTCAGAATCCACCCTCATAAAAAATTGGGTTTCATTAAATAAAAGACATTTCTTTCATAATCCACCTCATTGTGCTTGAAGGGAATCCACGTGGGCAGTTAAATATCATCTCATTTGAGTTTTGCACAACTGGAGAGTGGGCTGTTAACGATTTAAACGTCGTCTGCAAGACTAAATTAAACATATTAAGTCTTTTTATTAAAACAATATTCATATTTCATAACTAAATCTAATGAAGAGTCATAAATAATGTCAAGGGAATACAAAAGTTTGTGATTATCCAATACAATAAGCATTAAGAAAATCAATATTTTTATTACAAACAAATCTATAACATTGTTGTAAAGCAAGACCTAATACATGTTGACTTGGATGATAAACCTATAGTGGCAAACTGTTAAACGCTTATCTTTATTTCAAGAATTTACAAAAACAAAAACAAGAAAAAAAAATTAGAAACTAAGAAACAAAATCTGATGAAGAGTACCATATCTTAAGATTTGAAAAAACAATAAATTCATAATTATGTGCACTAAAACTTTAAAACTTTATTTGTGACCTGAGATTTGACATGATAATAAGTGTCATGGAATTCAAAATAGGCATTCTTATCTCTAAAATATTCACTAACAATTTTTCTTTTTAAAATGGAAGGTATGTTAATAAGTTAATGTAACATATATATTTCCACAATTACTTGAAATTCGGGATAAAACCAAATATAGGATAAAACCACGAAAAATAGATAAATATATATAAAATTTATATTTTTCAACTTAAGGTCGGGAGTTGCTAAGCGTTACCCTTCACTGTTCATCATATTTAACATATTTATTAACTGTATCAAACACACTATTCATAAAAAAAAGGAAATTATCGATACATCATTCATATTATATAGTCTTTTGAAATTTCTTAATTAACCAAATCAATGAAATTTTAATTATCATCAATGTACATTTAAAAAAAAAAAGTGTAACTAGCATCTTTCATCAAGTTATTCTAAAAAATTAGTCCATCCATTCATTGGTTGTCCAAAACTGGTCCCAGTTCATCACATAAATATATAAATATATATAAATACATACCTCTTAAACTTATTTGAATGGTTGACATAATGAAATAAAATAGTGAAATAATTAATACAATAATTAAGAAAATGATAATGTTTGTTTGTACTAAGGGTAGGGGCCCTACGATAATCCCGGAAAGTGGCGTTGTGGCCGCTTATCCGATAATCCTTATCCTGAATGAATCCGTCCGCAACGCAATCGAGTGAGCCCATATCTTTTTCTCTCTCTTTATTTTTCTCTCTCTTTGCCCTTATTCTGGTGGGCATTCATTCCTTCTTCTGCTCCAATTCCTGCACCCAAACCAAACCAAACCCTTCTATCCACTCACCATGCCTCTTCCTCTCTTCCCCACACCCACTCTCATCATTCCCATCATCACCGACCTCGCCGTTTTTATCACTCCCCTATGGATTGCAGTCATCGTCGGAGTCATCCTGGGCTGGGCCTGGAAGCCCAAATGGGCTTTCGACCCAAAACACGCTCTCCAAAAGCTTCGACCCCCTCGCTCCCCCAATCCCCCACACCACACTGCATTCACCTACCCCACCACCACTACTGCCGCCACCGCCGCCGCCCGCGTCAAAGACGCCGGCGGGAATGCGGTCGTCACGGAACACGATTTGCTGCACTTGTGGAAGTTGGTTGAGGAGAAAGACGGAGGCCCCGCGTGGAATCAGATGATGGACCGTTCTACCCCCACCATGCGTTACCAAGCATGGCGTAGGGATCCTGAGGTACGCGTTACCGTTTTTAACTTGTTAATTGATTGATTGAACGGTGTGATGATTGAGGGTGTTTGTGTGGTAGAGTGGACCGCCGCAGTACCGGAGCAGGACGGTGTTCGAGGACGCGAGTCCCGAGTTGGTGAGGGATTTCTTTTGGGACGACGAGTTTCGGTTGAAGTGGGATGACATGCTTATACACGCTTCGACTATACAAGAGTGTGCTCTCACTGGAGCCATGATGGTGCATTGGGTGCGCAAGGTTAGCTTCTTCTACTCTCTCTGTCTCTCTCTTTGTAATGCTACCGAGAGAAGTGATCAAGTTGTTTGTTGATGTTGTGCAATTGTGGCTACAGTTTCCCTTTTTTTGCAGTGACAGAGAGTATATCATAGGGAGGCGAATTTGGGACGCTGGCCAAATTTACTACTGTGTCACAAAGGTTCCTTCCTATCATATTAGTTGCAAATTAAAATGCCTTTTTTTTTTCGTGAGCCTCTTTCTTTCTAATATTTCTAAGTATTTATTGGAGAAGAAAATAAAAAAATAAAAAAATAAATAAGTAAACTTCTCTCTAAACTAAAATAAAATTAAATTTTGGAACAAATTCACGTACTTGCTATTTCATAGAAGTTCTTATTCTAATTTGTAGAAGCTCTTAGGGAATGTTTGAATGAGTTTCTTCGTAAATACTTCTAAAAGAGCAATCAAGAAGAAAGAAGTGAAATTAGTTTCTCCTCAGCTGATTTGTTGTTCTCTAAATTTTTATTTCTATCTTGAGCATAAGTTAGTTTTAGCCTATGGAGGAGTTCATTCCGTTTTTTCGTATTAGTTTTTTCCTCTAAAAGTGGTTATGGAGAATTTTGTCCAAACA